AAATAACACTGTTTTACCTATTAATTAGAATGGGGAACTCAAAGAAGGAAAAGGTACAAAAAAGGCATTTTTGAATTTCCTGGTTGATCCCTATAGGGACACGAAAACACACGATTAAGTAAACAGGATGATTTCAGGTTTTTTTTTTTGTTGTTTATTTATTTATTTTGAAAGAGAGAGAGAGAGAGAATGGATGGGGAGGGACAGAAAGAGGGAGAGAGGGAGAGAAAATCTCAAGCAGGCTCCATGCCGTCGGCGTGGTGCCCAATGCGGGGCTCAATTGCATGACCCTGGGATCACGACCTGAGCCAAAATGAAGAGTCAGATGCTTAACCGACTGAACTACCCCAGGTGCCTCTGATTTCAGTTTTTATACAAAGATATCAACTACCTTCCTGGGACTTAATGAGCATATATAAATATTAAACATTTAGAAATTCAGAGCTGGTCCCTGGGGGACCTCACACCATCATCTTGGTATAAATCTTTAGTAATTGGTGGTATCTTTTGAACCATTCATGACAATCATGGGCCATCAGGAGGGGTCTGCAGTGGCTTTGGTGTGTTCAGTAATATCAGAGAATAGGCTGGGATGAAGAAAAAAAGGAAGAGGGAGAAAAAAGGAATGAGAGAGGAGAGAAGAAGGATAAGAAAAATGGGCTGATGGATAGCAGTGGTGGAAAGTGACAAAGACTGAGAAGAACACCAGGAGCCACCAAAAACGTCTTCTTGTGCTCCTGGTGCTGGCAGCTTCCCTTTTGTCTACAGAGCACATGCCCTGGATCGTTGTTGAGGCTGTCACATAGAGATAAGAACAGAAGCTACTTCAAAGCACAAAGGTGACATTGGCCATATCCCCCTGTTTACATAGTATTGTCAGTTTATCAAAGGAAGAATTAAATGGGCATAATTTCTTAGAGTAGGACCAGTAGGAATCCAGTGCTGTTGATGGTCTTGGGTCTGGAGGACATTGGCTATATATCAGCCCACACGACTGGTCATCATTTGACCTTCATGTCTCTAATTTGGTCACATCAGTTGCTCTGGATCTGTCCATATGGCTTTGACAGAAGATTCACCTGTAGTGAGTAAGTGGTGTGGTCAAGGGCATCCATGATGTTATTCTGACACCCAGAGACAGAAGAAGAGGGTAGAATGGAAGATACAGGCTGTTGAGGGGGGGGGGGGGAATGGCAAAAATGGGGAGGCAGAAAAGGCCCTAATGAGAATGGGCAAAGCCCCAGTGGGTAGAGGGTGACTTTGAGTTGGAATAGAAGACTTGAAGGGAGAGAAACAGGAACAGTAAGCCTCCATTCTTCAAGGCAGCCATTGTCCCAATCTGTCAAAGTCTGGGATGTTCAAATTCTGCTCTGAGTTTCTCTTTCCTATTTCAATTACCCATTTTGTGAATGGTGGATCGACGTATGATTCCTTAAAAGAAGTAATCTACCGTGGAGTTAAAAAAAAAAATCCAGTCCTAGATAATGGTAATCACACAAATCACTTGACAGTAATCTGGGGTTTGTGTCTTCCATGAGGGCGTCCGCCCAGGAGCTCATAGCACCTGCTACTTTCAGAATCTTCATGGAGAGCAGTCTGCCTCCAAAGCTGTTTTTGGTCAGCAAATCCAACGTTGAACTTAGCTGTGCACAATCTGTGTAACTATTGTTAGACAGTGTCAACACTCTTTTCCTAATCCCAAACTCAGAGGGGTATATACAGAAAGGAAAGCAAAATGTATTTTATAAAAGAACACACTGAGGGGTAAGTGCTCGTTATCTTTTGATTGATTGGTGTTTGCTTTGCCACAGATCATTGGAGTTGGGATCCTGGTATATATGATTATCGCTCAGCTTCCTTCAGTTTTTTACTTTGTTTTTTGTTTGTTTGGGTTTAAGTAATCCCTATGCCCAACGTGGGGCTCGAATTTATAACCCCAAAATCAAGAGTTGCATGCTCTATCAACTGAGTCAGCCAGGTGCCCCATGGTTTTTACTTTCTTCCCCTTCCTTCCTTCCCTCCCTCCCTCCCTCCCTCCTTCCTTTCTTTAGAGAGCGCAAGCCTGCTAAAATCAAGTGTCAGATGCTCAACCGCCTGAGCCACCCAGGCACCCCTTTTTGCTCTTTGAAACACGTTTAAGATTCAAATTCTTTTTCAGCAGTGGGAGCAGTGCTATCTACACTGTAGTTGCCTGTGAACATTTTGTGCAAGGAAGAAAAGCATTGGCTTAGCTTCCAAATGGTGCTCTGATCTTTTAAAAGCCTGATCCAAGGAACTTCGGGATTCTTACTTATCAAGTCTCAGGTTCCAGTGCCACCTGGGACTGTCTCTCTCCCAGCCTTTCCCCACCTCAGCTTCACACTGACTGGCATGCACTCTCTGACCCCCACAAGGCTGGTTAATCCCTGGGGTGCTTTTATCCAGGATACTCCCTCAGGATTCAGCTCAGGTATCCCCTCCCCACGGGTGAGCTTGCTCACCCAAAACACACTGTTGCTTTCCCAACGCAAGGAATGTCTTGCATTCCAGCACGTGGCAGTGTCTAGCCCAGGTGATCTGGACACATTGCGCTGAGAAACAAGACCACACTAATGGGTCATGAATTTGGGGCTGGGACTGTGACTCGTTACTGCCATTCCCATCTGATCAGTGAGAACATAGTGCCTGTTCGCCGCTGCGCACCGTACCACCACCTACCTAGCTCCGAGGCATTTTTACCCCGTCATTTTGATGTCAGGACAGTGCCATTCAAGTTTGTAAACACATTTTAGTCCCAACATTCTAATCAGAATATGCCAGCACTGGTAAATTCTCCCTAAGAGGAGGGGAGACGGCAAGGTAGGAGCATGTAGATGGTGAAGCCAACCTGTTAGACCACCTTTCCCCCCTCGTCCCAGACCTGCCTCCACCATAAGGCTGCAGCGGGAGCTAGAGGGAGGGTCTGTTTTGCTAAGGAAATACATTTATTCTGCACACGGAAACTGGCAGGACTCGAACGGGTGCCCGGTGAGGAAAAGACCAGACTTTGTAGGGTTGGCAACAGCAAGGAGGGGGCAGAGGCAGGGAGCAGGGGTTATGCCCAGTGTGGAGGAGGTCCTTGGGCAAAGGAGAGGTGCTGACAACCTCACGAGGACCGCCTCAGGTCTGTCAAGCACGAGCACCCGGTGTGCCGACAGCCTCCATGGCACAACTGCGGGGGGAGGGAGGGGGTCACGCCTGCCCTTTAGGCCTGGCTCCTCTGGATGCACGGGCGGCTCTTGCACATCCATGACCCATGGCTACATTAGACTTCGCTCAACAAATATTGCTACTGTGCCCAGGGCCTGCTCCCCTGGGACGACCATTGGCCACTGCCGTGTTCCACCGACAAGGGTCAACCGCGGCCCACCGGCTCCATGCTGTGATGCCCAAGAACATTGTTCCCGGCCCTCATAATCCATTTTGCATATCCGTTATTGGTTCCACGCTCCCTTGAGACACTGAGAGCAAAGCTGGAGGGTGTGGGTACAAGATCTGAGCGCACAGAGGGGCATACATTCGTTAATGCCAACACTTCTAGATGTGCGTTCAGGGGGTAGCATGTGTCCATGATGGTCAGCAAGTAGGCAAGAGAAAAGCTTAATAAGGGAAAGAGATCAAGCCTCTATGGTAGCAACCTTGACCTTTAGTTGTGCTAAGAGCACAATTGCTTGAATTAAACATAGGACGCTATTCAAGTCTTTGGAATTTCAGCATCCTGTCACACACTTGGGTGACATACATCAACTTTCTTTAAGCCCACCTTTAGAATATTTTTAGTCTGGTCTTAAAGTACACTGATGTGAGCCCTATGTTATATGGGTAATAACCTGATATCAGTGTTTTTTTTAAGAATTAGGAACCTTTGTGCGCATAGTGTGCCCTGAGTATGGAGAAGTGAGAGGCAGGTAGAGAACTTGTTTCCTCTGCTGGCAGAAAAGGGCCAAGAGACACAGGCCACAACCACAGGCAAAAAGAGAAACTTGTTATTAAATTTAATTTTCTTTAAATACATACCTTTCTCCCACCCTCACCTATTCTGCGGGGGGAAGAGGAGAGAGGAAACCCCACCCCCTCCATTCAGGGGATTCCATGTATAAAGCCTGAGATGGTGAGGATGAAGTATAAAAATACTATTTACAAAGGGGAAGAAGGTATCTGTTGCCACCTTAACCTTCAGACACCCCCATCCCCAGGCCCCTTTTGCTCCTTTAGAAAAAGCCCCTGGGAATTCATTTGAGTGTAAAATAAGCCCTTCCTCTGGAGGGGTACTATAACCCCAAAACGGAATAGGACGCTCTGAGATCAGCTGAGGAAGACAGTGAATGGATAGCACCTCAGATCCTAGCAGAGGGAAGGCATCCGCCCCCCATTACCCTGTGGTCAGCAGGCCTACAGGCCAAGCCTTTATTTCCATAGGCCCCATGTAAACATTGACTTTCCTTTTTCCGTGTCCCTGTTCTTCCTGATTTCCTACAGAGCCTCCCTCGCTTGCACTGGAGGCACTTGGTTCCTTGATGGTTCCTTCCTCCCCTTCTCCCCTTCCTGTGGAAGAAGCGAAGAGGGGAGGCAGGTTACAGGTGGGGCAGGGCCCATCTCCTCCCTTCTTCTAGGTCAGGGCAGCCAGTCCTCCTAAGGGGTGAGCTCCAAGTTCTCGGCCAGATAGGGGTGGATTGCCTTCCCCAGCTTCCCCCACAGGGACAGGCAGGTAGACAGTCCGGTACCAGGATACAGCGTTCTTGATGGGTGACAACACCAGTGCTGAGTAGCAGGTGCTGAGTAGCTGAAGAAGGCTTCAGGAGGCAGAAAGGTGGGGCGACTCAGGCCTCCCCCTGATGGTGGGAGCCCAGCCCTGCATTACTGCCCCTTCAGGTAAGCACGTCAGTCACCACCCACCAGTCTTGTTCACCCGTAGCTGTGCGGAGGGGCCAGGCACCCATGAGACAAGCGGTCTTCTCCAGGCCTTGGTGTAGAGGCAGCATTCACACCAGCTCGTCCAATAGGATTCCAATGCTCTGAGTGGCCTCTGAGGGCCCAGCAATGGGCTTGTTACACATAGGGCAGACACAGCGTACTTCTAGCCACTTCACCAGACACCTGTGGGCGGAACAAGACCAGTTTTCCCCTAAGACACCCAGCCCGTTCTACGTGTCTCTCACTCAGAGAGCCCAGCTGCTTCTCCGAACAGCAACACCTCCATCCTTGCCCCGGTCCAACCCCTCCGGCTTGCCTGGTGTCCAGACAGGATGTCAGGCATCGCTGGCAAGGGGCAGATGGGAGGGGGTAGGGATTACAGGTTCTCGAAGACGCTCCCTACTTATTCCTTTCGAAAGGTATCCCCTGGACACACGTCCCCCACGGTGGATACTTACTTCCGGTGAAAGGCATGTTGGCATGGGAGCACACCTAGCTCATCCTTCCCCTTGAAGTCTTCCAGACAGACTGCACAGGTCTGCTGTGGGAAGAAAGGGAAGATGTGAGAGGAGATTGGGGAAGAACCGCATTCACCCATCGGCTCATCCCCATCCAAGAAAACAAAGCTCTAGCCCAGTTTCCTGATTAGCCAGGGAAACTTGAGTCATAGGGTAGCCACTAACCACACCAGACTGTTCACAAGACCAAAGGAAGATGAAATTAAAGGTTTAGTTCCTCAGTTGCACTAGGTACATTTCAGCGGCTCGGTAACCACAATGTGGCCATGGTGGCTCCCATACTGGACAGGGCAGATATAGAACATTTCTATCATCACAGAAATTTCCATTGACCGTAAGTGTTCTAGAGGAGTATTTTTTAAACCTTTCTAGCCTAGTACATTTTGCAAGGAGGCATGCATCTATATCTAAAGGTAAAAATGGGGGTATAATGTTCAGTTCATATTCTTGGACTCTAGCTTTCTGTAATTCTGGACTAACTTCTTGATCACAGCTGAATTCTCCCTCTCAAGGAGGGCTCAGGGAACACTGAATTTGCTGAGATGTGATAGCACACATCAAAGAGGGATAAAATGAAGCATTCCTAGGCTGTCTCATGCCTCGCAATCCCCGTGGGTCCGCCCAGTGCCCAACCACCACAAACACCCTGTGCACAAGTGTCTGTGGTTATGGACAGAAGTCTTGAGAAAGTTAGATGATCTCATGGGCACAAGTAGGGAAGGAAGAGGCAACAGCCCACTCCTAAAAAGTCTGTGTTGATGGGACCCAAGGAGTGGCAGTATTGCTTGGGGGAGGGGACTGGAGAGCAAACAGGCGAGAATGGCAGGGCTAGATGCACTGGTCAGGTCCCCAGTCTGCCAGGACAGAGTATATGTGTAAGGGTAAAAAGGGCCTTCTTTAGTGAAAAACCAAGACGGGAGACCTAGAAGCAGGGAAGGGTAGCTGGGATCTGGCGTGGAGAGGTAGACCCATCCTCCCCTTAAACATGATGCACAGCAGCCTTTCCGGGGCCACGTGTCCTCGCTCATTCCAACCCTTCCGCGATCCCGTTATGTTTTCTGCCTGCGCCGGTTCCAGACATAATGAATTCCATACACGGATTACCTACTGGAATGAGTCACATTTATTTGGCCCAAGGAGATAAGTTCCTGAAAGGCCCTGGCTGAGAGCTGGAGAGGGTGCTGTCTGCCTTGCCAGCCAGGGCCCTCCTGCACCCTGGCCGAGGACACTTACCCCATATAACTGCAACTTCTTGGCATCACCTTTAAGCACCACCTGAAAAGGAGAGAGGAGGCATGGCGTCAGAAGAAGCCAAGCACAGGGGCCAGGTGCTATCATCCAGCCAAGGGAGTCCCCAGCCCCGCACAGGAGTGTCTTCCACTTCCTCTGGTGAAGGGGGAGGGCTTGGCCACTGCCTGGGCCGGGCCAGGCCAGACTCGAGGACGGTACAAAGCACTGGCCAGGGGGAGCCAGCAGGGAGGCCGAGGGGGTTCAGCTTGCTTGCTGCCTATCCTCTCTCTAGCAGGGCAGGTAGCAGAGAGGAAGTCTCACAGGAAGATGTAGCACTTGGGGCGCCTGGGTGGCTCAGTCGGTTAAGCGTCTGACTTCATCTCACGTCATAATCTCACGGTCCGTGGGTTCAAGCCCCGTGTCGGGCTCTATGCTGACAGCTGGGAGCCTGGAGCCTGCTTCGGATTGTGTCTCCCTCCCCCACTCACCCTCTGTCTCTGTCTCTCAAAAATAAACATTGAAAAAATTGTTTTTAAAAGAAAGAAAGATGTAGCACTTTACCTCTTTATAGCCGTATCGCTCACTCTGTGCCTGGTTCCGGAGTTTGCTAGGGGAGAGAGAAAGGAGAGGTTACCATGCCTTTGTACAAATTAGAGCCATTCAGAGTGAGAGAGGCAGGCAGGCTGCGTGGGCCCTCTTCTGGGGGCGGAGAGGCTGCTCCTCAGAGGGGCGTCTTGTCCCGGAGAAGCCATGGAGTATGATGTGGTTGGACCTGTGCAGGTCGCCCAGAGTTGATTAAGGACTCAGACTCTTACTCAGCCACAACAGCCTCAAAGTTTACCGTCAGGTCCCACAGATCGGGGAATTCTGGCAGAGCACATTCTGGCAGAATTATTCATTCGTACTCCCTGCTGTTTCCCAGAAAGTCAGTCTCCTCAGGCCCCCCAAGTCGAGAGGTCAACACTCCGCTTCCTGAGTATACAGAAGTTAGATATTCTTACAAGGGATCTTGCCATTAAGCCAGGGTAGCAGTGTCAGTGAGTCTCCGTTGACTCTGGGGAATTTTCCACCCAGGGGAACACTAATATTCTGAACCAAAGCACACTCTCCCCTTCACGGCACCCAGGCAAACACCGAGGATGCCCTCTTTGTTTTCTTCTCTTCGGTTTCCAGCTGGTGGCCTGCACACAACCTAACTCAATAGCCAAAACCCAGTGTGTTGTTACTAACGGCAATAACGCAGCGGTTGTATCGAGGACTTGCTTGCCCCCATCCCTGTGTTACCATATTCACATACTTTGTGAGAAACCCTCCTTTTTACAGATGAGGAAAATGGAGTCCAAAGAAGTAACTCGCCCAAACCTCCTGGCTAGTCGGCAACAAGAGGCGGATTTGAATCAGTCTATCAGAGCATAGGGCCTGAGCGCTTTAACAGTGTGGCCTGTTTTCGCCTATTAGGTGGGACACACCATCATCCTGAGAAGGAGACCAGATCCCTTGGGAAACACCCGATCTTCATCAACAAGCCTACAGCGAACGGCTAGGATCACGATTACGCAGTATTGCTGCTTCTTTATTTGCAGGGAGAGAAACCGTCCAAATCAAGCAGGTGGCTCTGTGTCCTCCTATACTTGGGAGCCACATGGGGCCTTCTCTCCACTGAACACTTCTGCCAGATCTGCGTTATTGGAAGGAAACATCAGAAACCCATCAAGTTAGAATAGATGTGGCGGATGATGGCCTAAGGGCCACTTGTTCAATAGAGCCTATGAGCTAAGACTGATTTTTATTCTTAACTTTTAAAATGTTTATTTTTGAGAGAGAGAGAGAGAGAGAGAGAGTGCATGTGTGCACATGATAATAAATTAAATATTACATATTATCTGTGGCGGCTTTTGCACAGTAGGGTGGGGGAAATTAAGAAAGAGACTGTGTGACTTCCGAAGCCCCAAATGTTTGTCCTTTTGCAGAACAAGAAGGCTGACAGGAGTCAGAGGAAGAGAATCTCAAATCAGGAGCCTCAACGAGAAGGTAAGAAGGTGCCTGCGCCACAGGCACTGTGGAGAAGCTGACTAGAACAGCGGAAGGTGCGGAATGAGGGGCAGAGCAGAGCCATGCCCCAAGCACAGTCGGGGGGCAGATCTGGATCTGGCTCCCAGCTATCTCCACTGTTCCTAGCACAAGTCAGGGCCCTAGGAGGCCGGGTGCCTGGAGACTCTTAAGAACTCCAGTCCAGGGGCACCTGGCTGGCTCAGTGGTGGAGCATGTGACTCTTGATCTCAGGATTGGGAGTTTGAGCCCCATGTTGGATGTAGAGAGGACTTGAAAAAAATCTTAAGGGGCCTCTGGGTGGCTCAGTCCGTTAAGCGTCTGACTCTTGGTTTCAGCTCAGGTCATGATCACGGTTTGGTTAGTTTGAGCCCCTCATTGGGCTCTGTGCTGACAGTGTGGAGCCTGCCTGGGATTCTCTCTCTCCCTCTCTCTCTCTGCCCCTCCCCTGCTCATGCTGTCTCTGTCTTCCTCAAAATAAATAAACTTAAAAAAAATAAAATAAAATCTTAAAAAAGAACTCCAATCCAGGTTGACTCCTGCACCATAGGGCTAAGTCCCAGGGCAGCACATCCACTGGAGGGTCTCTGGTCATTGGAGGGTTGGGCCAAAGACCTAGCCAGGACTCCCACTGTTCCGTCCTTTACTCAGAGAACGCCTCAGTCCGGGAAAGCTTTTCAGATGCATGCATCTCTGTGCCCGCTTCCAAACAAGATGGGCGGGGCAGGGGGCATGCAAGGCTTCAACGAACAACTGTCACCTGGCTGACACCGAATGAAGCTGGGGAAGCAAAAAAGTGTTCTCACAGTCAAAGCGCTCACAGCCGCATTCTCAGGCAGTCACCGTCGCTGTCACGGGGATGCCGAAGAGTAAATAAGGAAGTGGTGAGGGGCCTGCTTTTTAACCCCGAGAATGAGAGGATGCCACACATCCTTGGGGTCTCAACCACCTCACCTGCAACACGGCTCTACGCAGGTAGGGTGTGCCGTGCCTTTCTGCTCGCTGTGTCCTGGGATGCGCAGGGCGCCCCCTGCCCACCCTCACCCCCTGTGTCTGGTTCCATTTGATGGTCGCAGTCAAGGATCCTCCAGCAGCCTGGGTCTCAGAGCCCAGTACCACCAGAAGAGTGAAAGGCTGCAGACCCACCCCCTTCGCCCTGCATGCAGACTTTCCAGAACAGGAAGATATACATTGTGATGAGACCCAAAAAGGTCGCAAGGGAAACAAAGCAGAAAAGCAAAGCCCCTGGGACATCCCAGCAGAGGAGGTAGTGCCGGCTACTTTGGACAGGTGGCCCTCTCAGCTGTTGGGTGAGCAAAGCTACTAAAAATACTCCGATTTCAATGAGACCATTTCTAGCCACTGCCAGCGGGCTCTCCCTCACTGCTTTTCCCTTTTGGAGCAAACAATGCCACCAGGTCCTGAAAATAATTGCTCCTTTCCTGCTTATTTGTACTTCACTGGCCCCTCCATCCTGTGTAGGGCAGAGGTCAGCTCCTGGGGAACAGGGAAGAACGGGTGAGGGGAGCAGGGGAGAGGAGGCTGGTGTTGGCCACTGAGCTCACCAGGTGGAGAGTAGGGGTCATGGGCCTATTTTGGCTATGGAGGAAACTGAGAAGCGGGGAGAGGAAGTGGCTTCTGTGCCTGTGTGTCTTTCTATATATAGACACCCACAGGCTGCCACACAGCAGCGAGCCTCTGGAACCATGAAAGTCCGGGGTCAGCTGACTCTGGGCAGGCTGCAGGACAGAAGGTGGGGGTGACAGAAGGGGCAGATTACTGCGGAAGGGACAGGTGGCGCCAAGCGGCCCGCAGTCAGGAAAGCTTTTGGTATCATGTGGTTACGGCTCTGTTCTTCCACTCCAGCCAGACAAAAATAAATCAGCCCTATCTAGCTCCCCAGCCTGTCCTTCTGCAGGACCCCCATCTCCGGCCGTATGGGGGTGCTAAGGGATGCTGCAGCTGTTCCTTTTATTTCCATTCAAGGAATGGGAACCCGACAGGGAAGGTGAACATATGGAATCTGAAAGACTCTAGCTAATGACCACTGGGCTAGCCCACCCCTGGATCTTCCTCGATATAGGACCTTGGGCAAATTCTTAACTGCCAGAGCATGAATTTCCTCATTTACAACGTGGGCTAATATAGAAACTGGAGGGGTGTTTCACAAAATGCCAACTATAGTGTGGCAAAAGAAGGCACTTGGTAAAGAAGAACTAAAACCCAAGGTCGCACGTATTAGGGGCAGAGTTAGGAAATGAACCCTGGTCACCCACATCCTGGCCCAGAGTGATTTTCTAGATTTTTCTTCACTTGACTGCCTTTGCAGCTTGTGTGTGTGTGTGTGTGTGTGTGTGTGTGTGTGTGTATGTACACCAGAGCTGCTTTTGCAGACCCCTCCCCCAGTATCATATATAAACCTTTGGTATTTGGTGTGTCTCCATCTTTAGTCCCTGGGGAACTGCATGAATTGCTCGGTATGGGGAGATGGGGGTGGCTGGTGGTCAGGAAGGCAGAATGTTTGAGGAAGAAAACGTAGGCTTGGGGAAAGGGGAAGGGGTGGGGAGATGCTAGAAAACTGCCCTCACTCCCACTTATGCAAATGTTAGGCTCGGTTGTACAAGAGGGAAAAAACACCACGATCTTCTCTGCATCAACTTTTAAGTGGAAAACTCCAGTCCCAGGAACTTTTTTAAAGTTCTGAGAAAGAAGAGGCCTAAAGTAGCTGACTGGGGGCACTGAGGGCCCTTCCCCTTTTTTAGAGGAAACTCTTGCTAGCCTTAGGAATAGAGACTGAGTGTCTGCCTCCCCCTTGCCCCTTCTCTGGGCAAAGCATTCAGACCCACCAAGACATCTCAGGAGGAAGCCAGAACTCCTCTGTCCCTCCTTTTAATTTAAACGATTTAAGACTCCAGCTGCTGGCTACCTAGGCATTTCGTAAGGTGTGGTGGGGGTAGGGGGTGGTTATCACAATGGCCCTAAAGACCATTAGCATGTTCAGGGATGCTCAACATTCCCCAGTGTGCAGGACAGTCCCATACAATGAGGAACTGGTGATCCCAACAGCATGCCCTTGCCAGAAACACTACTTTCATTTCCACTCTAAATGCCAGTCATGCCCTAAATTTTTGATAGAAAACGAGCCACCAATTCCCATGTCTTTCAACGGGAGGTGAAGAAACACCTCCCTGGCTAGCCCCGCCATGCTCAAGTCCTCCCCTGGATCTCCACGCAGTAAGAATAAGGGGCGTTTTTAGGGTTTTTCTCACTATCAAAAAAGAAGAGCTTACGAGGCAGACCAAGCAGCTCTCCAGACATCAGCTTGCTAATATTAGCATCTGGATGGCTGACGGCAGGATTTCCCAGGAGGGCAGAGGAACATGCCGTTGGTGTAACCGATGCCCACCTATCCCCGGCCACCCAGAGGTTATGCGTGGGGAGTGGAGACACGGTTAAGGGATGACCAATGATATCACTTGGTCAGATAGTAATTCTAGGCCACCCTAGAATAACTGGCCAAGAGATGCGATGTAGCCCAACCAATGGTGACCTCATATGCTCTGGGACAACTCCAGAGGCTGCTGAAAATAGAAACACCAGGCCTCAGGGGCCCAAGGAAGGACAGGCTGAGCCCTGTCCTCAAAGCAGGGGCCCCAGTGGGAAGTTAGGGACTGCTGTGCGAATCTCACTTGGCCCACCCTACTCCCCGGCCTCCTCCTCCTGGACTCCCTGCCCCAGGTCACCCAGGGTGCCACCCACCTGATAAAATAGCAGCAGAAGATGAGACTGAGCATGAAGACGAAGATGCCTGTGCCAAAGATGACCATGTAGATGTTGAGGGGAAGGTCTTGGAAACTGATGGGTGGCATTGAGCAGGACTTGTTGGTGCTAACCAGTCCCAGGCCACAAAAACACCCTGAAAAGAAAGGGAGAGGGAAAGCATTATAGTTGGAAATTGACCACTGGGGCTGATGGTACTCAGGTCAGGCAGGACGGAGAGAGAAAGGGCAGGCTCTGGGGTCCTAAACCTCTCTGATGCCGACACTTAAGTTTATAACCCAGCTCTGATACTGACTAGCTACATTATCTTGGGTCACTCAGCGATCCGTGAAATGGGATACTACACACAGTACTTAAAACTGCATCCCCATCCAGGGGATCAAGGATTCAGCAAACGGGAAACTCGACTCCATTGCGTAGAAGCTCATTTAGTGCAGTAGCAGAATGAAGAGACGTAGGTGAGAAGATGGGTACTTGGGTTCCAACACTGCCTCTCCCTAGAGAGGTGACCTTTAAAAACTTACTTATCTAAGCTTCACTTTGTCATTTAAAAACAAGCAAAATGCAGAGAGGACCCAAACTGGTGTGAGACATGTACTTTGCAAATTGCCGAGGTGCAGTTGCAAAGGTCATCTGTCATTATTAAGCCACCTGCTCCAGGAGACAGGCTGCACCAGGACCAGAATAGAAACTGTTCACCCTGAGGCTGGGCCAGTGTTCCAGAAAGAGATGGGGGGGGGGGTGGTGCGCAGCTTACTTTGGGCACCCTTCCCTTTCCTACTCAAAGCAGTGCCATAGTAGTACTGGCAACCCCTGGAGCTTGTTAGAAATGCAAAATCTCCGGCCCACCCTGGACAGAATGAATCAGAATCTACATTTTAACAAGGTCCTCATCAGATTCCCATACCTGGAGCGGGGGAAGCACTGACCAGCCACCAGATGCTTCCCCTTCTCACGTGACTCAGAGGGTAAATCCTGATTGGCTGCCCAAGCATCCTCAGAGGGTAAATCCTGATTGGCTTATCAATCATCGTTGTCACCTGCCTCTTGCCAGAGTTTGGTGTTGAGGTAAGTATGTGACAGGGTTCTGGCCAAGGAAACAAAGACAAGTTCTGCCGGAGCAGGAAAGATTGGAATGGTGGCAGCCAAGTTAGAGCTGGAAAGAAAGCAGTTCAATATAAAGCCAATGGCCGAGGGTGGCGGGAGGGAGAGGGAAAGAAATGATTTATGTCCGTGAAATTGCTGGATTAACCAGTCCTGGGGCCACTCTCTATTTTGGGAGTACTCGTTCTGAGAATTAGTACATGTTCTGTACTGTTTAACAGTAAGAAAAAAAATATAGGATAGAAACAATAAGCTGGTGGAGTGTTTAGTCCTGCAACCAAGACAAAATATTATCGTGATCCAAAAGGCAAGAATAAAATTCTTAGATTTCAGAAAGTGAGGAGACGAGAAAACTAGAATCTTGCAATACCCCAAGCACATTCTCACGCTACCAATTTAATCTTTGTAATGCCACTGAGAAATTTACTTACCCTTTCTACAGGAAAAAAAAAAAAAAGACTCAATCATTAAATAAATTGTCTAACGTCAAACAGCTAAGAAGGCTTGTTTCCAAAGACCTCTGTACCCAAGTCTTCAACATGGGTTTTAAGTACCTGCCTGACAGCTTGGTTAGAAGCCAGGACCCATTAATATACTTGAGAATTCTAGATTAAAATTACCAGTGCTACAATTCAGCAGAAGACTGGCTGAAAGGACCGGAAGTCGATTTTGACATCCTACATCTCCTCAGTCATCTCCTAGATCAATCTAGTGACCATATAATGAGCCTCCCTTCAAACCTCTTTCAGATGTCAGGACCAGTTCTATTCCAAGTCCCCACCCCAGACCCTCACTGATGTCAAGTCCTTCCTCTACTTTAGCCCATGTGTGTGACATATCCTCCCACTCAGTTTCCATTATGTATTTCCCAGGCTCATGACTGGTTTTAAGTCCTGCTAAACATGCACGCACTGGGTCGCCTCAACCTCCACTGCTCATAGTTTTCCAGCATCCCCCAACATAGACCAGTCTCCTATTTCTTGTCCAACCTGTCCTCACCTGCCTCCATACCTTTGTTCATGCAACTTTCCCTGCCTGAAACTCCCCCTCCCTTCTGGACGCCCACCAAGCCTGGTCCTCATGATATTCCAGTGACCCCTCTCTTCCCTGAATTCTACAGTACTCACAGCCTCTACCACACATTCTGGCTCTTGAATACTTAGTATTGTGTTATGTTGCCCAAATATTCCAAGCATCAACTTAATTTAACTCGAACATCCATTATATGACAAGTACCATGATAGACACGTAAGATAAAAAAAATTAAAAAAGGAATCACGGGGTGATTTTACAGTGTAGGGATGAAGAGAACACAAAGGCTTCTGCCATACAAAGGGAGGCACGGCAATAGAGATAGAACTAGAATATTGCAATCAGAAATGAAAAAGTCCTAATAAGCTCGAATACTCCCAAGTCTCAGGACAGCAACTTGGACTTTTGTAGCTCCTCCAGTGCCTAGCCTGGTGTTTGGCTTGCTTTCACTTAATTAGTTAGCAGATAAGTAACTCCTGATTCTTCAAGACAACCTGGTACCCTTGGCAAAAGCTCCCATCCCAAAGTAAGGAGAGTGATATTTGGGAAAGTTGCCCAGAAACTGCCCTCAGCTAATGAATGGCCAGCCAACCAACAAGTATTAATCGAGGGCTGATTTATGCACTGACCTAGACATTGTGGGAAAACAAAAAGGAGAAGTAGTTCTTGTCCTGAAAGACTCTGTTGAAAAGATTAAATAATTAGCTCCTACCCTTATTATTCTCAACAAGAAGCCCTTGCTTCTGGGCTCCCTACCTCACTAACAACTGATGCACTAAGAAGGTCTAACCTCCGATCTGTCTTCGCTCTCCATGCACCTTTTAGGAGATGAATCCTGGTTACCTTTAGGGTCCCAGAGAACCCCATTTGGTTTCCTGTCCTGGGAAATTGTAGAGCACTGGCTATTATAGAGGATATGTATCTGCACTCTGGTCTCAAGTGGTCCTCTGATCAGTTTACCTTGACCATCTTACCTCTCCTAACAGACTTTCCCTGGGCTTCCAGGATGGAGTCAGTGAGCTTGGAACTTTATGTGAGAAAGAGTTGTAGGTGAGAAACACTTGTAAGGGCAGAATACCAACCCGAGAAAAGAGAGCCTCCAGATATTTTTCCACAAAGGGGCTGGGGGAAGGGATTGCTTCCTTACTGGAGTCAAAACAATCTATCAGCCACTTTAAGAAGTGAAAAGAAAAAGAGCAAGTCTTCTGCTGGTCTAAAAACCCGATACGAAAATAGGAGCGCCAGAATAAAGTGCCAGCCACCTTGGTTCTTGCGAAGTCTCTGTTCCATTGTCTCAGCTGACCTATGAAAGCCCTGACATCAGAATGTCTCATCTCGGTGGTGTGCAGGCTGGGAGTTGGAATGACGTCAAGAGAAGGCTGGCCAAGGAAGATCGGTGGGTCTGGGAAATGCTTCCCCCTCCCAGCCGCCGGGAATCTTTCCCAGATGCCGGGATGCACCGTCCTTCCCCACCCCCCTGTCCCTCAATGCCCGCCTATCACACACAGCTTGGTTCATTTTCAGGAAATTAGATCCTACCAGCAAGAGGAAGAGGGGGTTGGGGGACGCTCATACACATGCTGTCCAAACCCTGCCTTAAGGGTTTTGTTTTAAAACAAAAGCCGCCTGAAATAATTAATCCAAGATCTGGCTGGGGTCTGCCCTCAAGAATGGATTTTTCTTTTTTCTTTTTGTAACTACCCAGCCTACCATACTCAGAGATAAGGCCCCCGGCCCCCACACACCTCCTCCAGAAACTCCAAGCCTTGGGATTTCGCAGTCAAAACACCAAAACCATTGGAACGTTAGTATCTAACATCAATACCTTTTAACTGAGTCGCTCAGGTGAGGAGTCAGAACCAACCTGTATCACCTGAAATACCAAAAAAAAAAAAAAAAAAAAAAAAAAAAAAAAAAAAAAGAAGAAGAAGGAAAAAAAAGCCTCAGGTGAGATGAATTTAGCATCATTCCAGGGCGGGTGGGTAGGGAATGGGGTGGAGGGGTGACTTAGGTAAGGGGGTGCGGCCACCACCACAGATCAGAAGCTAGTACCACAGTGTGGCCTTGGGGCCAGAGAGCACGACTCCTGCTGGCCTAACTCTGCACCCAAAGGTACCCGGGCGCTGAGACATCTGCAAGGCTTTATCAATCCAATAAAGGCACGCTCTTTAATCCGGCATCTTCCTCAAGCACAAAGCCCCCTAGCAGCCAGTGAGAAGCCAACAAAGGCACAGAGGAAGCCGCCTCCGCGCCCCGTCCCGCACGCTGCATTGTATACATATTTAAAATAGCCTGCAAAGTTCCAGGCCGGGAACTTGAGCTCCCTCTAGGAGATCCCAGCCCGAGCGCGGATTTAATTCTCCTCCGACAACCACAACAAAGACCAGAGTTTGAGCGCACAAAGGCAAGGGAAGGGGGTAGAAGAGCGAAGGCGCCACACAAAGGCCGCGAACCCCTCGGCTCCCACGCCCCCCGCACGTTCAGAGACGTTCCGGCCCTGGAATTAAACCTGATTTTTTTTGTTTCAAATTCCGCGCTGTGCAGAGCCTCGTTGGGCGCCAGGACGCCTGCTCGCCCGTCCCATTTCATGACAAACTTAGCTGAAGAGGAAGAACGAGCCCTCCGTCTGATCTTAAGCCTTGCGCCCCTCCGCGTCTGCGGCCGGCCCGGCGTCCGCTCGCCCTCCCGCCCCGGGAACTCACCGTTACACCACTGGAATGGGTGCATCAATGAATTCTCGGCTGGCTTCCTCCGGCGAACGAACGCAGGCGGCCAACGGGTAGGGCAGACGGGGTGGGCGCACCGGCTTTCGGGTCCGCAGGAGGGGCCGGTGCTGTAGGCGGCAGCCGCCTTTCTTCACAAGTCGAACGCCCTCCGGGGTGGTGGGGGGGGGGGGTTCGGCTTGAATGGTTTCGGAGCAACAAAGAGGGAAAAGGGGAAAACAAACAAACAGAAAGTCCCCAGGATCAACGCACCGCCGAGGAAATGCAGGAAGGGCCCCCGAGCTGGGGGAGATGCAGGGCGCTACAGAACAGGGTGGGGAGCCCGGTTCGCAGAGGAGGGAAAAGCTTCACCGGGAGCCTCGGCTCAGGATCCTTGGCGCGAAGGTGAGCCGCCAGGACTCCGAAACTGACACGGGCTGCGCACACCCCCCTCCCTTTTACTCCCCCCACCCCGCAAACTCCGCCCCCCGCCCGTCACCTGCCCTCGGGCCAATGAGAGCCTTCCTGCTGGCCCCGGGTATTATTTGCAGGCCCGCCCCCCTCCAAGGGGAGAGCATCTTTGCACAGTGGGCGCCTCCCCTTTCGCCTTCCCGGTCCTCGGGAAACTTAACTCTAAAGACAAGCAAGCTGCGCGGTGCGAAGCTTGGCGCAGGCGGGGGCCAGCCTCCTCCGCCGGGACCTGGAGGAAACCGAAGGATTAGTACCACATTGTTTTCCGCCTCCAGAGCTGTTACTGTTTAGTATTTCTATAGCTCTTTGAGAAGCCAGTTCTAGGGAGGGGTTACATTTCTGCTCCGAGGTCCAGGACTCGGTCCTGGGTGGTGGCTAGCAGCACGTTCCTTCGCTCACTGCTAAAGGGGGAACTGAAGCAAGAGGGTAAAGCAGATGAATTGCAAAAATGAGATCTGGAAAGAGGTCAGGTTGTCCTCTCATGTTTGGTCAGCCCCTCATTTTACAAACAAGGAGCCAAAGAGTAAGCTTAAGGTAGATCTGTCAAGGCCTCCATGCTCCAGAGTAGCAGAATCAAATCCAGAAATCCACGTGGGCAATACCTTAAGGGCAGTATCTTCAGCATCTAGAACCACCTAGGTGTTGAATAGCACTTGGAAGAGAGACTGTTTTAATTCCCCGTCCAAAATAATTTCTTTTTATCTGACATTGCATCGCTTGTTTTTTTCCGTCTGTCATTCTGTCTTTCATTTATACAGAATGTGTTCACCGTGAACCTACTTCGTGCCCAGCGCTGTTTACAACGGAGACCCATCTAGGTCCCTGGCGACAGAAGGATTCTACTCTTCCTGAGATTCTTAGTGCCTGAGGAGACAGACAGTAAACACGCAAGCAAACAAATAAGAATGACTCAATCTCATCTTCCAATTAAGCTTAATCTGTTAATTGAAGGTGATAAACACTTTCCCTAACGCTTGGGAATTTGTGACACTCAAATAAGATTATGCATATGAGTGCTTTGTCATTTAAAAGCATGATGGTTAAGGTATTAAATAACTTGGCTGAGATCACACAGCAGTATGCAACAAACAGTTTAGCACTTAATTACGTAATTGTCTTATAACAATTGTTTTTCTTTAAGAGCTGGTCTGGGGGGTCGGAATCATGTACTGATCCAACTCATTTCATCTCTTAATTGGGCAATTGCAAAAGCTTCCTAACTGACCTCTTTGACTCCAGTCTCTACCCCAGACTTTAGAGCCCACAGGAATCACTTATGTTAGAGATGTTACATATACAGACTCCCAGACCTGGAGCCCAGAGGTTCTGATTCAGTAGTTAAAGGGTGGGCTCCAGAATGCTTTGTCTCCACCTTCCCCCACCCCTCCTCAGCCAAATTCTCAAGCAATTATGCTGAAAGAAATAATGCTCTGATCTCACTCTCAAATCTGTCCTCTCTGCTGGGCCCAGAGTTATCTTCCTAAAATGTAAATCTGCTCCTTTACTTCTCTTGCTCGATAACCTTTATTGGTTCCCATTACTTGCTGGGTAAAGTCAAATTGTAGAGTATGGCATTCAGATGGTTTCAGTCCGGCCTTTGCCTGTCTTCCTAATGCCAAATACTCTCTTGCTCACATGCTATTCATCAGCCACAAAGCTATTGCTGTTGTCCCCTAAACATAGGACATTCTTTCTTGACTGTGATTTCGTACACGGCATCACTTATGTTTGAATGCCCTTTTTCTTTCTGTGCCTGACATTTTGTAAGATTCAGCTGAAAATACATCTCTTCCGTGGCTCACCACTGTCATTGTCTCTCTCTGCATTTCTTTCACCTCACGTAAAATGTGGTCTATTGTGGGATTATCGGGATAATTCCAGTGATTTCCTAAATTTGAGCCCTTCACGGGAGCCCTCCTTGAAAGAGATTTTTCTTTTTTTTTTAAATTTTTTTTTAACGTTTATTTATTTTTGAGACAGAGAGAGACAGAGCATGAACGGGGGAGGGGCAGAGAGAGAGGGAGACACAGAATCGGAAGCAGGCTCCAGGCTCTGAGCCATCAGCCCAGAGCCCGACGCGGGGCTCGAACTCATGGACTGTGAGATCGTGACCTGAGCCGAAGTCGGACGCTTAACCGACTGAGCCACCCAGGCGCCCCGAAAGAGATTTTTCAAGGGCAGGAACCACTTTTGTAGGACCAGTGTCTGGTTCACTAAGTACTTTTGGAATAGATGTATGTGCGAGCATGTGTATCAATTACCATACAATTTAAGCTATGTTCCAGACAGTGTTGATGATTTAAAAATGTGTATAATTATTATGCAAGAATTCTTTCTATACATTGGCTCAAGGGGAAGGCGTCAATAGGTGAGCCTGATTGCATTAAGTTCCTGCTATGTGTTGGTCCCTGTAGGGCATAGATTTTCCAACTTTGACGGAAAAATTGACAAGAAGTGAGGAATGTCTCCTCTCCCCACCCTTCTTAAAGAGCCCCAAAGTGGGAAGACACCTTGAAGGTAGGAACAGCACAAGTTCTCATGGGGAAAGACCTGGTCTATCAGGACAGTGACCATCTGAGGTCACACCTATGAGGGCCATGATTACAGTCATCAGAATGTTCTATAACAACGTATGTTTTAAGCCTGATATTTTAAGCATTCAGTAAGATCTCCTGAGGCACTAAAGGACTCTAATTTGGGAAGCCCAATGCATCCCTTCGCAGTCTCCTCTCACCCTCACCCCTCCTGGGGATGGCCAGGAGGGCTGTGCCTCGGATGATGGCTTAGATTGAGAGATACAGGTTGAAAGGCTTTGGTCTTACACATCCTTGAAAAGATTAGTTCAGTCCCCCAGCATTTTCTAGACTGAAGGTCTTACCAAAGACAAGCTGATTTCCCACATCATGTGAATACAATTTAGGTAACTTACCCCCGCTTCCCCATCCAGAGCGTTCAGACCCCTAGCCTCTTGTGAGTCAGGAAGATATATCTGGTTACTTTATGGAGGAAGACACTGAAACAGTAAAGAAGATGATGGATTATATATTCAAAGTTACTTGAGAAAGCTGAAGTAGAATTCTGTTTCTAAATCTCCCGTGGAAAGAGGGAAGGGTAATACTAAGCCTCCAGGAAAACGTTTAAGGAGCCGGAGATTCTCTTCATCCCTACCTCCCTACCCCAGCATCCTCTTAGACACCCCATGTGCCCCTATTTTAAGGCCTTGCAAGCATTAGAGAACCACTTTGGGGGGAGAGACAGCTCATTCTGTGGAGGAGCATGGGGCCAGAAAACTTGACCGTCCCATTTCGCCTTCAGTAAGGGAGTCTCTCTTCTGTGGTCCTCCTGATCCAGCCCTGAGGTCTGGAAGAGAGCACTAACCATGCTGATAATTAAAAAGTGATCATTGGGTCACCTGTGTGGCTCGGTGGGTTGGGCACCTGACTCTTGATTTCGGCTCAGGTCGTGATCTCTCAGTTCATGAGATTGAGCCCTGTGTCAGGCTCTGCACTGACGATGCAAAGCCTGCTTGAGATTTTCTCTCTCCGTCTCTCTCTGCCCCTCCCCTGTGCTCTCACTCACTCTCTTTCTCTCTCAAAATACATAAATAAATAAAAATTTAAAAAGTGATAATTCAGCCCAAATGAACATAACATACTTCAAAATTAGACAAATTTAGACATTTCCCCCAATTTTTCTTTTCTTGAGAGACAGTGGGAGAGAGAGGGAGAGGGAGAGAGAGAATCCTAAGCAGCCTCCATGCCTAGCTCAGAGCCTGACTCAGGGCCCCAGGCAGGGCTCCATCCCACAACTGTGAGATTATGACCTGAGTGAAAATTAAGAGTTTGTTGCTCAACCGATTGAGCCACCCAGGCACCCCACATTTCCCCAAACTTTCATTTCTTTTAAAAAATTTTGTTTAATGTTGGGGCGCCTGGGTGGCTCAGTTGGTTAAGCGCCCGACTTCGGCTCAGGTCATGATCTCGAGGTTTGGGAGTTCGAGCCCCACGTCGGGCTCTGTGCTGACAGCTCAGAGCCTGGAGCCTGCTTCGGATTCTGTGTCCCCCTCTCTCTCTGCCCTTCCCATGCTCATGCTCTGTCTCTCTCTGTCTCTCAATAATAAACGTTAAAAAAATTTAAAAAAAATTTTAATGTTTATTTATTGTTGAGAGGGAGAGAGAGAGAGAGCAGGTTTAGCTCTCACCTCAGTTCCTCACCTCAGTTCCTCACCTTGTAGCAGAATCTACCATAGAGGGTCACATGAGGAACAACATTTGATAAATGCTTGGCATATGACAGAACAAAATAACTCCAGAGACTAGCAGGGAGAGGCCTCTCCCCTCAATTCTCAAGCCCCCGGAAAATGCTCATTCTTATCACCACCAAACTACATCATGAAGTATCATGGCTGAGGAGCAGCATTGGACCAAACAGCCAGTACGTCTCGTGTATTAATTAGGACGCACGCTGGGTCTTTGTGGTGGTTTCGAAAGTATGTCCCCAAATTCTTGAATGCTCCTCCCCGGAAGAGGTGGGGCCTGGTTACCACTCTCTTGAGACGCCGCTGGGCTTCTAACAAGTAGAATGAAGCACAAGTGACCACCCTTGACTTTGGAGATTGGGTCGTAAAAGTGTACTGCAGTTTCCTTCAAAGACACTCAGGGCGCCTGGGTGGCCCGGTCGGTTAAGTGTCCCACTTGGGCTCAGGTCATGATCTCACGGTTTGTGAGTTTGAGCCCCGCGTCTGACAGCGCAGAGTCTGCTTGGGATTCTCTCTCTTTTCCCCCCACCCCACACTCTCTCTCAAAATAAATAAACTAAAACAAACAAACAAAAAGACAGTCACCTATGCAAAAGCTGTGTGGTAAGGAATGAAGGTCTCTGATAACAGCCATGGGAATGAACTTGGAAGGAGATATTTTTGCTTTAGTCAAACGTCAAGTGACTGCAGAGCTTGCCAGCACCCTGGCTGCAAACCGCAGGAGAGACCCTGGGACAAAACCACACAGTTAAACTGCTCCTGAATTCCTGACCCGCAGAAATGATGAGACAACAAACGTTTGTTGTTTGAAGCCACTGAGTTTGGGGGAGGTAACGTGCTATTTAACAAAAGATAAATCAGGCAGCTATTGTAACAATGAGACATAAAAATGCAGAGCCTCAAAAGACTCTAGTTTATTTCTGTCTTGTAAATATTCCAAGAAAAGGAGGTACAAGGCAAGGAGGTAGTTCTGCTTCACAAAGCCATCCAGAGACTCAAGCTCTTTTCTCTTGCTACTTGGCTCATCCTGAGATGTGTTCCTTGTTCATACATTAGAGGCTGGCTTGCCAGCTACGTGTCTTATGTTTCAACCCCAAGGGAAGGTATGAAAGAGTGGGGGGACGGCGCCTTCTCTGTAAGAAATGGAGCATTACTCTTGTTCCCATTCCATTGGTGAGAACTTAGTCACATGGTTCCAGCTATCTGCAAAGGATGTTGGGAAATGGAGTCTCTAGATGGACAGTCATGAGTCCTGCTGAAGCTCAGGATGGTTCTGTTAATAACAGGAAGAGGTGGAGGATGGTCTGTGAATAGTCTCTCCCTACCCAAGTCCTGGTGTTTGTGTCCTCTCTGAGACTTCGGTTAGTTACCTCTCCAGGGCTGCTTTCTCCTTTATAAAATGAAGAATCAGTTGGTTAAGCATCTGACTTCGACTCAGATCATGATCTCCTGGTTTGTGAATCTGAGCCTGGGGTCAGGCTCTGTGCTGACAGCTCAGAGCCTGGAGCATTTGCCTATAGTCCCTGTGGTAAATCAAGCCTATCATGGTGTCTTAATATCTTACCAACAAATGTGAGATATTCCTTATCCTAAGAAGCCCAGAGAAGTCCATTTTGCCTCATTTTTTCCTAATCTCCACCTCGACCCCCTGCTATTTGGACTGTTCTGCTCGTGGGCAGTGGTCACTAGTCACAAATGGCCTAGGATTGTGTGTTCCCTGATTTGGCAGACATTTAGCTCTGCCAGTCTCATTTAAGCTGCCTGGAAGCAGCCTGAACGTGGGCTAGTACAGCCCATCCCTCGAAATCCCCCCCTCTCTTGAAGCCAGTGGGGGAGAACTGAAAGTGACCTCGGGAAGCAAGGAGAGGAATGTTTATCAGCCACGCTCTGGATGGTCTGCAGACTAAAAAAAGAAAAGGACTCTCGCCCCCCTAGGCGACCATTTTCCTGGAGGCGGTTTGTACACAGAAGGCTGGGCTGGAGAATTGAGGGGTGAGGCCTCCCCCCAGCACTTGGGAGTTCTCACAACCGGGTCAGGGCTGGGCAAGTCCACATTCACCACCTATGACCTTGGCAGAGCCTGAGTTCTAATCCCAGTTGAAGCCCAAAATAGCCCAAAAAAGGCTGAGGCGAGAGGGTGGTAGAAATATTAACCTGGGAGGAAGACAGGGTCAGCTTCAGAATTTCCATCCCCTGCCTGTGGGACTGAACACAAGGGTAAGGTACTGGCAACTTAGACTCCTTCCCAGTTGCACAGCACCTTGGCCCCGCCCAGGGATGGAGGACGCCACTCAAAGATTAGGAGAAAGGAGAGATGCGCCTAATGAGATCAGGAAAGGTTAAAAGGAAGTGAGGAGAGGCCTGGACACCTGGAGCAAAGGCTCAGGAACCCTGCCAAAAAAACACATGCATGTATAGCAAACTCCTTACGCTTAAAGAAGACAAGGCTGTGCGATCCGCCCAGTAGGACACACAGGTGAATTATCACAACCTCAAAAATACCAGAAGTGGCGTGGAATACAGGAGAATTCTCTCATTCAGTGACTTTTCTGA